ATTTTCAAAGACTGAGCATCTCTGCTCTTTTTGCTCATGAGAGAAACATTCCAAAGTCATTTGCCAGGATCCCCTGCAGACTGGCATTCGGTGCTCGGAGAACAGACTCCTAGGCAAGATCCCTGGTCACAGTATTCAAATGATTATGATGGCAAATCTGGGGAAGTAGAGAGAGAACAAAGATTTACCAGATAAATGCTCTGGGAATTCCCCCCCAGGGAATCCTAGAGGGAAGACTCTGTTTCTCTTCAGCGCTGCAAGATCCATGGAGGAAGGAGAATTCTGGCCAGCAGAAGGGAGCCAAATGAGAGGAGAGGACTTGGTGTCAAGCACACATGGGGAAGTGAGACCGTGGTGCTGGTCTCTGCTATGGCTTGATCCTGACATAAGAGAACTTTGTGTTGATACCACCTGAGTCCTCTACAATGAACAGCTGAAGAGCCATGGACAGATTCACCCTGAGGAGTCCAGCAGAGTGTGAAGACTGCGTTGAGGTTACAGGGAGGAGACACAGGCACCCCTGGGACTGTCTGATAGAATTCAAATGTGAATCTGTTTGGTCCTGGACTTTTCTTGGTTGACATTCTTTTATTATTATTTTCATTTCAATCTCGCTACTTGTTATTGGTCTGTTCAGAGTTTTTATATCTTCCTGGTTTAATCTAGGAGGACTGCATATATTCAGAAATTTATCCGTCTCCTCTAGGTTTTTTAGCTTATGTGCACAGAGGCGTTCATAGTAACCTTGTATAATCTTTTGTATTTCTGTGGTATCAGTAGTAATATCTCCTGTTTCATTTCTATTTGAGCTTATATGGATCTTTACTCTTCTTTTCTTGGTTAATCTATTCATTTTATTTATTTGTTCAAACGATTTTTGTTTCTCTTATCTTTTGTATTGTTTTGTGTTTCAATTTTATTTAGTTCTGCTCTGATCTTTGTCTTTCTTTTCTTCTGCTGGGTTTGGATTTGCATTGTTCTTGATTCTCCAGTTACGTGAGGTGTGACCTTAGATTGTCTATTTGTGCTCTTTCAGACTTACTGATATAGGTATTTAATGCTAAACTTTCCTCTTAGCACTGCATTTGCTGTATCCTAGAGGTTTTGACAGGTGGTATCAAGATTTAGTGCAACTGCAACTTTACTACTGACTAACAGCTTTTTTTTTTTTTTTTGGAGATGTAGTCTCACTTTGTCACCCAGGCTGGAGTGCAATGGCGTGATCTCAGCTCACTGCAACCTCCACCTCCTGAGTTCAAACGATTCTCCTGCCTCAGCCTCCCGAGTAGCTGGGACTACAGTCGCGTGCCACCACACCTGGCTAATCTTCTTTTTTTTCAGTAGAGATGGGGTTTCACTGTGTTAGCCAGGATACTCTCGATCTCCTGACCTTGTGATCCACCCACCTCAGCCTCCCAAAGTGCTGGGATTATAGTTGTGGGCCATCGCGCCCTGGAACTAACAGTTATTTCACTCCTGAGAGTGTGACCTCATTTTATCCTGAAAACAGCTTTGTGATTGCTTTTCACGTAGTGGGCCCTGTTGGGGAGGGAGTGCTCGTTGCCTGGAGGTAGGATTCTGCCATTTACCAAATAAAACACTGGAGGTCAGTTAAATTTGAATTGAGTAAAACAATAAAAAACGATCAGTATATGTATCTCGCACATGATATTTTTTATTTGAAGTTACAAACCTACCTGGGTGCACTATAGTTTATCTGCCAACTCTTCACAGGGTTGAAAGCCTGAAAGAGGCAGAGTTGGGCCTGGCTTCCTCTTCCTGATGCTAGGTCTATGAACTGAACCTCAAAGACAGAGCTTCTCTAACACAGCGATCTTCAAGTGAGCACGTCAATTAGCACTAAATACAAGGTATATGATTCCCAACGAATAATGCCTTCTCACTTCCCTAATTCTTCTTTTTATTATTCTTCAAGTATGCAGACTCCGGACCTCTCCAGGGGTTGCTAAGCCAGAGTTCACAGTGAGGGACCTCATATGTCTTTTAAAATCAGATGGAAGGGGGCTCCTTGGTCCTCACACACTGGGGTTTTAGCCAGAGGTAAATAAGTAACACGTAAGAGAGAGAAGAACTCAGTCTGGCTCTCCCTCTGTCAAATGAGAGAGCAAACTCCAGGGTCTTTTTGATGCTGAAGGTGGGTGGACTGAGAGCAGTGGGAGACCCACTCTGAGAGCCCAGAGCTTCCAGGACAGAACGTGGGAGCCTGAAAAGGGGCCACATTCTTGAGTGGGGAAGAAGGAGGCATCTCTGGGCATAGAACTGCATTTCTGGTGGCTTCCCCTTCACCAAACTGGGCTCCCTGCTCTGGTGTCTATCAGGGAATCTCTTTCAGTGAGACCAACATCCCAGGACTTTACTAAAAATAGCAGCATGGACCAGGCAGGTATGTCATGATACAGGAATTCCATGCAGAGCAGTAAGTACAAATGCAGCTTAACAAGGGCCATCACTGTCGGATCATTGGTGAAGGAGAAAACAGACAAAGGCAAGGAGAAACTGAAGGACTCCGCTGGTCTAACACTGGGGCAGCACTGAGTGCTACACGCTTGCCCTTGAGGGGTCTGCAGATAAGGACAGCTGGGAAGCCATCCTGCTGTGACCTGCATTATCTGTTCACTGCTCACTGAACTCAGCAGCGGTGTCATCACAGGGAACCAGATTCAGCCAACTTGGCTTTCTCCACCCCACCTGGGAAATGTATGTATTCCAGTGACTGTCTAGACTGAGGTTCTAGAAAGGGGTTGGAAGACAAGAAGAGGGGGCTGATTTGCATGAAAAAACCATTGCACACATGCTTTTATCTAAAACCCAGTAATGGAAACTCTGTAAAAGTCTAGCTGGTCTCCTAAATTTGGGAGTTATGAAGGATTCATTCCTGATCAATCTATAGGAAGAGGGGCGATAGGCAGCAGGTCATCATAGCGAGGGAGAAACTGGCTTGAGAGACTCATCAACGCAGCCACCAACTCTGGGACAAATGAAGTCATTTGCTATAATAGTCACCCCAAGCTACTCACAGGAGCCTGAGCCTAGTCCTCTAACCTTGTTACTTCTGATCCTGGTCCATGACTCTGTTGTCCCTGGACCCCTTGCCCATGTCTAAGTCCAGGGTGGCAGGGGGAGCTCCATCCTAGTCAATATCTATACAGAAGTAAAAGCTACTATGGCTTGAAGCAGAGAAAGAAAAAAAGAAAAGAAAAGGAAAAAAAGAAAGAAAGAAAGAAAATCTCTTATATTTAAATAAGCAAACAGGAAACAACCCAAAACAAAATTAGGACCCACACCCATTAGAACGGCTTTACCAAAATAATAGAAAATAACAACTTCTACCAAAAATGTAACTCACGGAAAACTGTGACATTCAATACTATAAATTGTGTACAGAACAATAACACAGATTAAAATAATTGAAGAGTCACACGGGCAGAGTTCAGGAGAATTCCAGGAGCAAGGATCCAGCTGTCCCCTCCCAGTGGAGTAATCGGCAATGTGGCATTCTCCCGTCAACAATGTGTGACTCTATGTATGAAGCATTGCCAGCCAGGAAAGCTCACTCAGCCTTGGTGTCTAGAGGATTTTTGAGTGCTGGGGTGGGTGAGAGTGGGGTGGTTATGTAGACCTTGCTGATCAACCTCATGGCTCATTAAGTTTCCACTGAATTGAAAATAAAACTTCAACCTTTGGTGATTTTCAGTTTAAAAATTATCTAAAATAAATTATTTTAAGAAGGATCACTTAAACCAGCTGTTTATCCAATATGAGGCTCAAAACCAATAGTTTCAAAAAGTTAGTAGGTCATTAAAACATTTTTTAGTCGTTCAAAACAATCAGATAACACCACCATATAACATTTAAGTCCCTTACAGTCACAGGGCAGGATTTCAGCAACAGCAAGAGAAAGTAATACAAATAGGAATGAGCAAAGAGTAGACAAATAATGGGTATGAATTGGCCTGGGATATATTATGGCAATGTCAAAATATAAATCAATTGTGATTTGTTAAATAAGTGAAAACTATGCATTCTCAGTCCATGAAAGCCACCAGGGGGCCCTCTGGGTCTCTTGAATTTTAAGAAGCTCAAGAGGTTGAGAGTTAATGAACCCTGCACAGTTGTTAACTGACTCATGTAAATGTTAGGCCGGCTGCTTCCTCCCACAGGGCAAATCCACAGCACACAGCCGCCCTGGGCTGGCGTCTCACAGTGTAGCTGCTCTTGGGGCTGAGACGTAGGTGGAGGTAAAGGTAGCTAAGATTTGCGTAAAGCAGCACACAACACACCCCCTCCATGCAGAGCTCAGTAGGAGATAAAGAGCCATCAGAATCCAGCCCCAGCTCTGGAGCCAAGGGTCCCTTCCATTATCAGCGCCACGGCCTGGACTCCTCTCTTTCTCCTGTTTCTCTCCACTTGTTGCCCAGGTTAAGAGATTTCAAATACCAGACTTTGGAGGGATCCCTTTTTCTCCCTTTCTAATTCCTAATATGTCTGTTTTTTTGTTTCAGGGTCCAACTCCCAGGCTGTGGTGACTCAGGAGCCCTCACTGGCTGTGTCCCCAGGAGGGACAGTCACTCTCACCTGTGCTTCCAGCACTGGAGCAGTCACCAGTAGTAATTATCCCTACTGGTTCCAGCAGAAGCCTGGCCAAGCCCCCCAGAACACTGATTTATGATACAAGCAACAAACACTCCTGGACCCCGGCCCGGTTCCCAGGCTCCCTCCTTGGGGGCAAAGCGGCCCTGACCCTCTCAGGTGCACAGCCTGACGACGAGGCTGAGTACTACTGCTCAGTGTACTATAGTGGTGCTCAGCACAGTGACAGACTCAGAAGAGGAACCAAGACATAAACCTCCCTTGGCCCTTGCGATGTGAAGATCACGTGATCACACACACCAGCTCTCAAGGCAGCCTACACGTGGACCAGCCATAGAAAGGGGAAGGGAAGGGTCTGAATGGATTTCTATCCCTGCTTAAGCCCTGAACTGGAATAAATGTTTGAATGATCTGGGAATAACTGGATCAAAAGAAGCAAAAATTAATTGTTTTATATTCTACAAAGAACACCAACAGTTGGATCAGATCTAAAGGCTGAGTCTAAATGTATTTCCTCCAGCAAGAAGCATCTTTAATGTGTGGGCTTTTTGAAATAGGAGCAAAGGGAAGAAGTTCCTTTTTTTCTTCTTTTTTTGGTATATTTCTGAAGTTTGCTTAATTGAGTTACTTTCAAAGCAATACATGCCAATTATATAAAATAAAAATATTACAAGCCACCAAATTCACTGCATATCTACCTTATCCCAAACAATCAACATAAGTACATTTCTTCCTGTGGATACATTCTTTCATTTTTGTTCTCAATATTTCCACAAAGGTGATCATATTTTGTGCTTTTCCCTCTGGTTTGATGCATCTTTATGCTCCTATGTCATTTACGGTTAATATAAGTATTATTCCACTTCTTAAAAATGATAAGATGTTTGAATATTTGTTAATTT